ACGAAAAGAGAATTTAATCGCTGCAAATTCCCTCCCGATCTTCTGAAGTTGGTTTAGGCGCCTCAAAGCGGGACATGACTGTTCGGAAAGTGGGGCAGATACTCGATTCTGTTTAATTAATCGACCGTTTAGCCGATATCGGTTACTACGAAGCGAAGCAAATTTAATTCACTGTAAATTAGAATAAATCTCGACCGCGAAAGATTACTCAGTTTGGACCGCAGAGCACAGTTCAGCTAACGACGATACTTCGATTAACTATCATTTCTGTCCTAGATTGTTACGTTGATGGCATTTTGTTAATCTACCAGCATAGGTACAGTGGGGAGGTACAGTCATCTCGTTAGGGGACTCGGGGACAAGCCACAAAGCATCGCAACGGGAATACCATGTTTATATACACAGTGAGTAACAAAGACATTAATCCCACTTCAATTCATCTCGAAAATCGCCATTCCGCAATAAGGATTTAATTTTGGAAATGTTAATCAAAATTACTATCAGTGTCTGTTATTTAAGCTTAAATCTCAATTAGGCCAATTAATCGAGGCCCCGTGTGTTAATAAATAAATAACGAAAATAACGATTGGCATTTAGCGACTTAGGAGTAATAGGCTTTCCTTTCAGCTCACGATTCTAGCCTATAAAGACGTATAAATTCTCATTGCCTACTCACAGTCGTCAGTCTACTCGACAATAGGTCCACGGATGCTAACAGAAAAGTAGGCGAGATCTCGAGGGTGATCGATTGTTTCGCGAGCTCCGTTAACGAGTTTCCAGCTTCTTAGTTCGCGACCGTGGCCAAAGCGCCACTTGAATCGACGCAGACGCCCGGCACCGTTAGTCTCGAAGCCGCCAATTAAGTCGAAAGGGGAAAGTCTCGTCGAGTTCTCCTATGCGGTTCCTTTGCTCCTCTAGCAAGCGTGCAGGGTGACTGCACTTTGGCCCTGAACAGTGTCCGCGTGTCTAGAGACCGCGTTGCAAGTTGCCACACCGATGAACACCGGATTCTCACGAAGATTTGCCTGCACGACGTCAAACGAGTCGCATACCGCTGGACAAGTGGCGAATCGAGTGCCGGGGGTTGAGGAACATGGCCTGGAACGCGTGCCAGAACGCAGGGAAAGGCTATTGACCCCACTGCTCAAGTGTGGAAGGTGTAATTGTTTCGAAATGGGTCTCTGTCTTTGTGCAAGCTCGTTCAGAGTGGGGTTTAAGAATTTCGGGAACGTTGTGGGCAGTGGAACGGCGAAATGTGTGCGGTCAGGTTATGGGTGGGCTTTGTGGGCTGGGTTTGATGGTGAGTTATGTGCCAGCTAATTGCGGTAATTAGAGGTATAAGTGTAGGATTGGACTGGGAACTGGGTCAGCACGTAGCAGTTTCACGGAATGGTAAAAAGTAGATAGCTGTATTTCGGACATAGTTTAGACTAGGTACGAAGATTCTACTGCAGAGAGTAATTTTGTTGATTGGATGCAAGCACTTGGGCAAGGTTAAAGTAGGGTTTTAGAGTCTGGATAAGGCTAAGTTAGGGTCAGAATTTGGGTAAGGGGCTAGCAATGGGTTATACAGATAAGGTTAAATGGACGGTCTCCAATTTTTAGCCAAAGTTCAGTGAAAATTTTGGGGTCTGCGCGAGAGGGAGTGAAAGTTTCGGAATTTCGAAGGTGAAGGCAATGCAGGAAGCAATTTAGACAGGTGAAGAATCCAAGCTTGCTTCGAACCAGTAGTGTTCGAAATTTAAGGGCAACATTTATTATATATAACCGAAACGGATGTTCGAGTTTAAAGGGTACTTTAATTGGAGACACTTGCAACTTGCTGTCAGAAAATTAAACGGGACGCCATGTCATTAGCAGACTCTTATGGCTGAACTAGATAAGTTTCACATGAAACTATGTTGCTTTAACTGCACCGGAATCACCCACTTTTAATGACAGTAATAAGCTATGCTAAGGAATTTATTACCAGCTCGGCCAGCAGATATAGCATATTCCTAATGGCGCATAATGTTCCGGAATGAGATCGTAATCGAGATGAAGATTACCATTTCGACCATTCAGAACAATTTCGTCTACTATACGATTACGATCCTTTAAGCTGTTTATTACCGAAGTTAGCAGCGCCTGGGAAATATTTACTCGCTTCCAGCTTACCTCCACAGTTCTTTTACGGTCCATTCGCATGCAAATTAGGCATACAATAATAGGATACTACGCACAAAATTGAACGTTCCTTAACTTACTGTCTGCGACTTCATCAATTCACCGATCACTGTCTAGTTTCCTACAGCTTCACTCGAGTCTGCAAAATTGCAAACTAACCTCAACTTCTTCACACCTCTCTTTTACCAAGTTTTAGCTCTACGAATACTACCCACGTTTATAAATCTCTTTTCTGGAAACATTAATTAAATATATCACATGCACGTACGATCAAAGCATTTAACTTCTCATCCAAATCTAATTTAGGGTTAAATTTCAGCAAACATTATATAAACTTAAAATTAGATAGTGTGGTATTGGTGAGTGATTCGAGTGATTGGCAACACGATTAACGAGTGTTTGGGACGGTGCAATAATGGATGAGAGGATGTCTACGTTAACTTACACCTATAATGTTAAATTACACCTAGGATCAAAATATTTAATTCCTCATTCAAATGTAATTTAGATTAAATTTCAATTCAGCAAACGTTATATAAATTGATCCTAAGAAATTGATAGACTAAAGGGTATATCTTCTAATTCCTTTTACTTATTTTTACAATAATAGTTGCAGTCACAGTAGGACAGTAACTTACAATCAGATAAAATGGTATTGGTGAGTGAGTCGAGTGATTGTCAACACGATTGATGAGTAGTGAATGGTGAATAGTGGATGAAAGGATATCTACATAAAATTATACCTATGATGTTTATCCTAGAATGTACTTGGAATTTTTGAAAGCTTGACAGTGTGTAGACAATATGTGGTGTGTGTATGGACATAAAAAGGGATGCCAAGGGTATTCCTCAGTTCAAGAATATCATAAAAGAGTGTCATAAGAGAGTTGCTATTGACAGCTCTGAGAAAGGGAATGGCGAATTGTATCATATCCAATAAATAATAAATATTATCAAGACAAAGGGAAAGTTTCATCCTCGCAGCACTATTTCTACAATAATATTTGCACTCATAGTAGGACAAACTTAAATTCAGATATTGTGGTATTTGTGACTGGCTCGAGTGACTGTCAACACTATTGACGAGTGTTTGGAACGGTGCAATAATGGCTGAGAGAATGCCTATGCTATATTACACCTTGGATATTTATCCTAGAACGTACATGGAATTTTCGAGCGCTTGACAGTGTGTAGACAGTATATGGTGTGTGCATGGATACAAAAAGGGATGCCAAGGGTATTCTTCAGTTCAAGAATATCATAAAAGTGTGTCATAAGAGAGTTGCTATTGACAGCTTCAAAAGAGGGAGTGAGGAATTGTATTATATCCATTATATAATAAATATTATCAAGAAAAAGGGGAAGCTTCGTCCCTACGGCACGAATTTCTGCAATACCATAACCTCTGAGTTAGAATTCAGCGAAACACGTGAGTACTATCCCACAACATCCCTCACCCAACCTCTATCTAGCCCCAAAGAGTTAGCACCGAATGATTAATCGCATGAGAAATCGGAACAATGAGAACAACGTGTTCGCCTGCCACGGTTTTCTCCTGGACAAGTGAAACAAAGGCAATTTGTCTGACCACGTGGTGCCTACGCGAGGACAGAGCTGAAGGTCTATGGCTACATGTTACGGTTGGCTGTGCATTAGGTCTAGGAATCATCCATGCCAGCCTGCCATATTTCCACGATGATCGTAAACCACCCTCGGCCGTTGTTATTCTCGCGCGGCTTCACGCCAGATTCCATGCAACAAGGGGTGGATTAAGGCCTTTTGCGCCCCGTCCGCAGGCGGGCCAGGCTAATAGAAAGAGGAAAGTGGATCCAATTCGACTGTTTTTCTGGCCTGGATGCCCGTTTTCACGGCTCGTTGCGCGAAACCGAGGGTGGCGTGGCGCCCTGTTTGCGCCCCTCCGCGCAACCCCCGGCGAACTGTCGATCGAGGGGATGATTTACGACGCGATAATAGCGGCGGAAATCGTAGCGCCGGTTTTATCGTCCGGCTCAACCCTTTGAGGACCGGTGTTGCGGCGGCGAACATTTATTAACGAGTCGTCGTTCACTCGTCGACGTCTTGTTCGGGTTTTTCCGATCGGAGTTATGGGAGCCGCGAGATTTATGGATTGTGCACAAGTGAATTCCCGATGAATGGAATTTCATATAGGGATTGGGATGTATGTAGGTCTATGTACCGTACGAATTATTGCTTTCAATTTAACGTTACTTTTGGTTATCAATTTTTATGCCATTTTTAAGGACGACTGAACGTCCTTATAATATGGTTTCTCGATAAATAGAATTTCATACATGGATGTAAACCTAAAGATATAGACCTCACTATAGTACCCTTGAATTATAAATTATGCTAACTCGAGCAAATCTTTTTAAAGAATTTTTACAAAATAAATTCTCGATGAATGGAATTTTATATTTGCCATCTTTGATTTATGAGAATATAAAATGGACATGAAATTAGAATGTAGATATAAGTAAGGATACTATATTTAGGAATCTAGTAGCTTTAGTAAGAATAATTATTTTTAATTTGATATTATTGGCGAATTTTTCAATTATTTTCTTCGATTTTCGTTTATCTTCTCGTTAAGTTTCGGATGCACGAGATTGCCAATTTCGGAAGCTAAAAGCTGGTCTATTTTGGGGATTGGGGAATCGAGTTTGAGAAAAGGCTCGCTAATTTATTCCTTGATATAGCAGGAAAGGTATACATCGGCCTGTCACACGGTCGATACGCGGAATAACAAGATGATTGCGGACGATATAATTTATTCCGCGATTACAGGATAAGAAACTGCAAGAATAACCACTTACCGGCATGCGATGCACCGAGGATGCACGAATGCGGCAGCAGAAAGCAAGTCAGCACTAATGGCCACTTCATCTTCGAATCTGTAACAGCAAAAATAGAAACAACCAGGTCAGAGATGATCTAATGCAGTAATAATAACCCTACAGTCAGTCTGGGCTGAATTTCAGACTTAAGTCGTATTTAGCTCGTGATTAGAGGCAAGCAATTACAATATTTTGGTTTCTGTAATTTTTAGATGAATTTTTCTTTAATAAGTCGCTTATTTAACTATCAATTAATTTTTCTAGTCCCATCGCAATGATTTTACGTGAAAAAGGAAATTGAAAATGCAATTATTAACATAGACAATATAATTAACCAAAAGAATGGCGAGTATATTGTATGTTGTATCTCATATTAACAACGCATTTGTAGATTTTATTAACGCACTCAAAATACAAATCAAAATTTTGACATTTCAAAATTGCAACATGTACTTTAACTCTTAACAAATATCCATTAAAATCCATTTATTTTCATAAGTACCAAATATATGTTATGTTATTAACAAAACAAGTCACTTCTTCTGAAAATACGTGTTGAATTTCTCGCAATAATATACGTACAACGCCATTTCGTATGATATAGTAGCTATCTATATAATAGCTTACTAATATACAGTAGTGTAATTCTTAGTATAAATAAGATTTATTATATAATCCCATTTTTGGGGAGTAAAACAGATTGGCAAAGTTTGAGCACATACTTGTTGGACACCGCGTATGTCAGCAATGCCAACCGCACAATGCTATCCCCTAACCTACCGCCATTATCAATCGCCTACTGCCCCGGAGGCAAACGTTCCAAATTCCCCTTTCTAATTATCCGCTCCTAAGAAACACGTCCCGGACATTAACGTCGCTTATAAAAAGCCCTCTGTTGCAGGAATCTAACTGCGGAAGCAGTTAGGTAGTGGTCGAGGCAGCCTGATCGACTCGAAATGGCAGAAAAGTAGAGTGGCGGCTGAGCAGACGTCCAGCTAATATCAGCCCCGCCCCCTATACTTATCCAGCTTGCACGGTTTATTCAGCGCCCCCTCACGAAACACTGAGAAACAACACACTCGTGGCGAATTAATGCCGGCCGCCATGTTCGATTCCAAACAGCCGAAGTCTGCAATTAGGGGAGGGCCCTCGCCGTTCGAAACTGTTCCACTGGACCTTCTTTCGCTCGATCTGAACCGGATAATAACCTCCATAGCGAGGTATCGATAGTTCGGATACAGAAAGGATCGATGATTCAGTATTTTAGGGAGTCTGCGGGCTGGAAGAATTTTTGGAAAGACTTGCACATGTAAATTTAGTATGAACTAGAGTGCTATAATTTAATTATAGATATTTCTCTACATTTTTAAAATATAATGGCGTTCTGACTGATAGAAGCTTGGAAAAGAGGTTAGGATAGGTTATGTTCGACGGGATGTATGGCTATAGTTGAAAGTGAGAACAAATAAGTATAGATATTGCAATTTTACAAGGTTCCCAAGTATTATTCATTTCCAATCGGTACTTAGATTGCTAATATTTAATTATAGAAATTTCTTTATATTTTTAAAATACAATGACGTTCTGGTGGATAGAAGCTTGGAAAAGAGGTTAGAATAGGTTAAGTTTGGTGGGACGGACGACTATAGTTAAAAGCGGAGAACAAATAAATATGGATGTTGCAATTTTACGAAATTCCAAAGAATAATCTATTCCCAATGGGTAATTAGACTGTTAATGTTTAATTATAGATATTTCTTTACGTTTTTAAAGTACAATGGCGTTTTGACGGATGGAAGCTAGGAAAAGAGGTTAGAATAGGTTAAGTTTGACGGGACGGACGACTATAGTTAAAAGCAAAAAACAAATAAATATAGATATTGCAAGTTTACGAGGTTCCCAAGTATTATCTATTTCCAATGGATAATTAGACTACTAATATTTAATTATAGACAATACTCTTAATATTTCAAAAATACAATAGCATTCAATCGAATAGAAGCTTCAAAAAGAGGTTAGAATAGGTTAAGTTCGACGAAACGAACGACAACAGTCGATAGTAGAGAATAAATAAATATGCATGTTGCAATTTTACGAAGTTCAAAAGTATTACCTATTTTCAATGAATAATTAGACTACTAACACTTAATACTAAACCTACCACCGCTTAAATGACTATTTTTAATCTTTTGACCTAAAATTCTGTACTCAAAGTTATCGCTTTGGTAACTTGACTTGCTTTGTCTCTTACTACAGGTATAATGAATATTTCAATATTTCCTATTACTCCATCTTTTGGAAAAATTTCTCTTCTTTCCTTTTTACACCCACTGATCAATTTGTCCGGCCGTGGAAGGTTCAGTGTTTATTACAGATGTTTCTTCATGTTTTTGAAATACAATGTTCTGATAGATGGAAGCTTGAAAAAGAGGTTTGGATAGATCAAGATCAACGAGAAAAGTGGAGAACAAATAAATACAGTTGTTGCAATTTTACGAGGTTGTTACAATTTTTTACGAGGCTCCCAAGTCTTACCTATTTCCAATGGGAATTCTAGCTCAATGTCTCGCCAGTGCTACAGCTAGCTTCTTCGGAAGATATACGAGATACTGATATAACTGCAAGTTCAAATTATTGATCGAATCAAGTATGCGGAATTTGTTGTGCTACTTTAGCGGGTTTATTAACCTCCATTAGCAATCTTGATTAACAGGTTTGCCAATATATGGCGTGTGGGGAACCAATCATCGAAGCCTACACTTATGGCGACTCTCTGCGATTTTGTTTTACATTAGGGTAACATTAACTCAGTATCAGCGAAGAAAAGCAATTAAGATCGAAATTTGTTAAGACCAGGAAAATTAAAACTGTATCGTAAGTGAATTATCAAAATAATATTGTTCAAAGGTGATGAGACAATCCTGATCGTCACTGAGGCTTATGATATAGGCTATACTGGCCGACTTCAGGTCAAATGTGATTTAACTAGCACATGAAAGCAATTCTTTGATGATTCTTCCCTTAATACCATCACAATTATGTACAGTAGAATCTTGCAACACGATTAAACTCATATTTAAAAACAAATATATTATAGCAAAATTGACAATCTCAACTGTCATTGCTAAGGAACTTCATATCTCAGTGTATAGCATTCTAAATTAATAGATAATGTGGGATATTTTGGAATGTTAAGAGTCAAAGCGAAACGAACGAACGTGTAATCTCAGTTCCAAGCGATTGCATGGGAAAATAATAAACAGAGACCTCGGGTTCGGAGCGTTCAGGGTAATAATAGGAATGTGTATGGAAGGACAAATGACAAATGACAGCGCGAAAAGATTGCATGGACGGGATATTTATGACTGTACTGAGAAGCTATTATTATTTATTTACTCTTCTGAGCTATTGTCATCTGATTCTTTATCCGACTCACTTTGCTTTGTATTTCCAATTCTAGGTTTTCAATTGCGTCTTCTATTATTCCATCTTTCGTCCAATATTCGTGTTCCAGTGTTTTTACGTGTTTACAAAATCCTTTCCAATCATTTGATGTCGTTTAGTTCATTACTTAACGTAGTAGTGATTCCAATTCATTGTAAGCTAACTCTGGGGTAATATTTCTTTCGCGGTATCTTACGCCTATGTTAACGTAACACGTTACCGAACTTGGAGGTAGTTGTTTTTGGGAGTGTCATAGAAGAGTGGGTATTACTAGCGAGACTGTAGGCTGAACAAGTGGAGTACCCCTATCACCCTGCAACCGAACGTGATGTCTTCTTTTCAGCCACGCACAGTACGTGCATAAGCAAAGTTGAGCGCGCCACTTCGATAGTAAGTGACAGCACAGTCAGTTGTCCATAATGATCGAAATGTACTGCGACTTTTCGACATAAAAATGTGAATTGGACTCAAACGGTTAAGAACGTGCATATATATCCTCATGCACGAGAGTCCTGATACTTTTGAGCAGTACGTGACAGTGTCGACGTACCCCACAAAGGTACAACGATTATTCATTAAGAGAACCTGACGTGAACGCTGTGCAATATGTCGCGGTACCTCGAACAACAAGGCATCTGGAAAATAAATCAGCCAAACTCTCGGCCCAATTTCAAAATCCCAGAAGCAGGCAAGGGAGCAGGGGATCGTGGTGGTCCACGGGAATCCAATTGAACGCAATCGAGCGAGAGCGACGCGAAACAATTCGCGACGATGGAAGGGAGATCAATGTTTCAGGAAAATCGAACCGGAGGCTGGCCATAAATTCGCCATCTCCTCGGGATCCTTGGGAACCGCGTCACGAACGAACAGTTTCGTCGCGTCCGTGGCGAATCGTCCTTCTGATCTTCCTCCCTATTCTACAGAGAGCAGGGAGAGGGGCGGAAACACCACCTCTGCGGAAACCGAGAGGAAACACAAAGCTAATATCCACGAGTCAGCTTTTATTTTTCTTTATTAGCCAGATGCTATGACGACGCGGAAAGGGCAATGTCGATGGTCTGGCTTCTCGCAAACTCCGCTCCTGCGATGTGGTTTTTTCCAAGCCAGTCCACCCGCGACAAATGTATTTACTCAACGAGGTGCTGCAAGGACATTCGACGTGGACTTCTGTCGACACACTTCGAAACAGCTCTCGTGTTGTTTCCCAGGTTTCAGAATAGCTTGTCAACATCAGAGATCCGAGGTCCTCGTTGTTTCATAACTCGCAAACGTTTCGAAACCCTTCAGATTGCAGAATTATTTATTAATTACCTCCTCTTGGCAATTTGAAGTACAGAATTATCGTTGTAACCGGGAATAAATTTGGATAATGTATGACCAACTTCATTACAGACATAGAATATCTGTCAAATCTGTCACAATTTCTGTTTCTCAATAATACTACGGAATTATAGTTCGTTTAACGAGACGAGATTCCGAATCCAACGATTGCACGTGATGAGTGCGTGATCAGATCAGGGCCGACTTCACAGTACCCGGACCCAACGATTACGTGGAACTTTTCTTGGAATAGTGGAACAGTGTGCATTCCGAACGTCCTTTCAAATCGTTCG